GTTATTTATGAGAATTAAAAGCGCAAAAGAAGAAAAATTAATAGATAAAGAAAAATTGATAACAGAGTGCTAAAGTTCTGACAGATAGGGTGATTAATGTAATAACCGGATGGTTTATTCGTTGATTCGCGGCGACGTTCTGTTAAATGTTAATTAAATGCTGTCGATGCGTGGTACGGTAGAATGTGAGATGTATTGGTTTCTCGGTAGCGGGTCTGAAAAACCCTAACGGACAAAAGAACAAAACGGACATGTCACCGCCCAATCCCGGTGGTGGATCACTTTCCAGTGGAAGTTCCCTAGTGACGATCTCTTCCGTCGAAAATTCAGATCCTGATCCTGACTTTCGTAATAACTCGGATGGCTTTGGCAACAACGTGTTCCGAAACGAAAGATGGTATCAGACCACTCTACAAGTCGCCGTGCCTTTCTTCATCGCCGGGATAGGTACGATCGGAGCGGGCCTCGTTCAAGCGGAAGTCAAGGTACGTTATAATAATTTTTCATAAAGCCGACACCCGAACACGCGTCCTTTTAAACTCGTTATCGGTGGTCGTTAGAATTAAAATTCCATAAAACAATCGTAAATCATGTATTTTTCCGTGAGCCGTCTCTTATCGATCGCGCACTTTACTCTTATTGTCTGAAGATAATGTTAAAACGCCACGGTAGCGTCTCTTTTTATTTTTTTTTATTTTTTATTTACGATTGTGCGGTGTATCTGTCGCAAAAAATGAAATACGATGCTCTAGAAACAACACGGTTATACTCTCGTAAACACCCTCCCAAACCCGGTTTCGTTATTCAATTACAAACATTGAAGAGGATAGATTTTATCGGTTTCCGGCGATGTAGAAATTCTTGAATCATAACTTGCATTCCTGGTTACGTTGCTTTCGTAAGAATAGCCCAAGGAAGGATCCTCTTTAATTAAATGTTATCTATGTTTTAGGACTGGCCAGTATTTCGTGCCATTTCCCAATTGTTCATTCTAGTGCCACCTCTGTTAGGATTGAAGGGCAATCTCGACATGTGTCTGGCATCTCGTTTGTCCACCCAAGCAAACCTCGGCAATATGCACTGTTTCCGGGAAATAGTAAAAATGATTATCGGTAACATCGCATTGGTACAGATTCAAGCGATCGTCGCGGCCATTTTGGTCTCGATTTTCGCGATCGTCGTCAACGCCATAACGGAAGGTTCAGAGTACATCTTCAATTGGAACAATTCTCTATTGCTAATGGCCTCCAGTGTATGCACCGCCACCAGTTCATGTTTTATTTTAGGTATTCCTTTATAACTATACTATAGTAGTTACCTCGAACTTGCAAACACGATCAATCGAATCGAATCAATTTGTTTAAACGATCATTCGTATGTTGCTTTACATTGGTAATTGATCATTAAATGTAATTACACAAGGAAGAAACGCGATAAAAGAAGCAACTTGGTATTTATTACGACTTTATATCTCCACTCATGTTTTACATGAATATCATAGTGTCTTATATGGCTAGTGGTTACCTTCATTAATATTCTTTTCAACAGATTTCGTAATGATTGCCGTCATCATGATATCGTATCGATGTAAAATGAACCCTGACAATTTGGCTACGCCCTTGGCAGCGTCATTTGGAGACGTGGTATCAATTACTGTCCTATCGAGGATCGCTTCAGCGTTTTTCGAAAGAATGACAATGCAACCTTGGCTTTTATACGTTGTAATCGGCTGTTATCTTTTAATTTTACCATTTTGGATCTACGTGGTCCTCAAGAACAAATACACCAGAAATGTTTTAACCTCTGGATGGGTTCCAGTTTTATCCGCCCTATGTATCAGTGGGTTAGTACGTAAATAATTATCTAACTAAGTAACTCGCTAATCGGTAGACTATTAAACTGATAGGCTGTATATTAATGTTTCTACTCTGACTCAGATTCGGTGGTTTGGTGCTCGATCAAGTGATCGACGAGTTCGAGGGATTCGTGATCTTTCAACCCATCATAAACGGAATCGGTGGTAATTTAGTTTCCGTACAAGCATCTCGAATCTCAACCACGTTACATCAGACGTCTATCATGGGAATTTTACCGCCACATTCGAAAATGTTCATTGCCCCGTGGAAGGCGCTGTTTAAAGGCTGTAAGTGATGCAAGGCTAACTAATGTTCCATCGTTCCACGCATTTTTTTTCGCGTTTACCATAACGGATTGCATAATAACGATCCCGGTTTCGTTTCTCTAGCACCGTATGCGAAAACGGCCAGAATACTTATTTGCATGGCGATTTTCGGCGAAACGATCTTCATCTTTGTAGCTGATTATCTCAGGCAAGGTACCTCCACGGTAAACGTATACTTCGTGATCTCCTACATATTTGTTGCTGTTCTCCAGGTTTGTATTAGAGCTCGTATCGAAAAAGTGAAAGGCTCGAATGGTTATAAAAAAAGCTAATGTTTATTTCTCAGGTTATGGTGCTGCTTTACGTAGCGCATATCATTATTCACGCTATGTGGCGATACAAAATCGACCCGGACAACTCGGCCATCCCGTATCTGACCGCTCTGGGTGATTTGTCGGGAACGGTGTTCCTCGCCTTGGCATTCTGGTTCCTAATAACTATACATCAACAATACGGCAAGTAAAAGGCAGCTAGATTGGCAAATAAATGTTGCCTGTCGAATGTTACGTGCGTCACTTTCGTAAAAAACAAAGCGAATACAAAAGAAAGAGACGAAAAAAGGTGGAAGATTAATTAACGGAGTATTTTATAGAAATAATCATAGAGGAGAGTACGGATTTCTTTTACTTCGTTAAAGACAACATCTTAATGGTATATTAACCGCGTTAATTAATTGTGTCAAGCGGATCGAACATGATAGATTGAAAGAATATATCGTTGTTCTTGAAAGATACTCTAATGGAAAGAACGAAGTACAATGACACTGATTCTAACGTAACTAATTAGTTCGAGCAAACGACTCACGTTATGATGTAATCCACTGATATAACCCTCTAACGATCGTGCAATAGTAATTATACGAAAGAACAAGTCAACGATGAACGTATCGATTAACGATTCTTTAGTCATGAAACGTAACAGTTTCTTTTAAACCGTTTTCTTAATTTTCAATTGTACCGTGCACCGCTTACGAAATAATAGAACTTACTAAAGTATTTTAATCTGTTCGCGTGCATTGTGTACAATTTATCGTATTATCGTGTACAAGCAGAAGACCTAATCAGTATTTTAACGCTGATTAATAATAATAATTGTGTTATAAAATGAAGATAGGAGAGCCGAATATGAAGTTTGAATTATGATATAAAATAGACGACATTTGATAGTTGTAAATAGAATTAATTTCAAAAACTTTTATCGGTGGTAGAAATTTAGATGAATTTTTTTATGGCACTAGAACCACAAAGCAGCATAGAGTTACTAGTGTTACATAGATTGAAAGAGTACTTCTCTTTCTCTAAACTGTTAACTAACATAATGATATCATAGAAGTATTTTAAATTATTAAAATTATGTACATTACATGCTTCAACAATGATGTATATTACATGCGATGACTGCTTTTTTAATGCGTGGTCTGTATACTATCATAAGTAACACAAAACAATTTAAGCAAATTACTTGTTCACAAAATAAAGGATATTAAATACATAGTGTTTTTAATTCTTTAAGTAGTGCTATAGAAATTTGTGAATGATTACATTGCTTGAATAGAACTTTGCAACTTTATATTAGTGCTTACTTCAGAACAAACACCAAAGTTGCAATTATATTAAACAAGACTGAAATAATCAGTATTCGATAGTCCCATTTATAGCACGTTTCATTATACTATATAGAACTCTGATCGAATTAGAAAAAAAAATAAAAAAACTTTATCTACAAATAACAATATAATGTATATGCAAAAACAAAATTATAACCTATTCTAAGTTAACCAATTATAAATATTTCTGAACTGATCATTATATAATACTAATTATACACTGTTCTAACAAAATACACAACTACATGTTACATTATATATTCGTTAATGTAACAATGTATTGACGTAACACTCTTATCATGAAAATTAAAGTTTTGTTTGTAAAACCAAGCAATGCCACACTTCAGGTTATGGCATTCATGCTTACATTTCAATGCGGTTATGTAAAGTAGATAATAAATAAGTAAGAATATTGAATACCAATTATTATATAACACTCCTACACGTAAATAAACAAGGTTTTCCTAGAATGAAACTGTTGTTCTATATCTAGTGTATGTGTACCTTACGTGTCTTACATGCCGCCATTACGTCAAAACGTAAAAAAGCCCGCGAAACCAGCATTGACACATAATTTATGAATTTTTTTGTTCTTTTATGCTATTTACGTTACGAAGCAACGAATATTAAGCTCCTCAAAGTATAAACACTTCATATATACATAACATTTTTCAGAGTATAATTCTGATTATAGTACAGACGCATCCGATATAATGATTTATCACATGCATTTACATAAACCACACAACTATTAATAAACTAATATTTTCATATGATCGTAAAATACACTTACAAATACGTCTAAAATATGTATTGGAAGCTTACTTACATTTTGGGCAGAATTGCAGACCTCGTGAAGCACCAAGGTGACATCCTTGTGGACCCAAAAGACGTAGATAGGAACAAATTCGCGATGGTATCTTATAGAATCACATCACTTTGTACTAAAACGTTTATCACAGTACAAAATATCACGTATTAATATCAATAAACTAGAATTTTATTACTTTTTGATGAGTTGTAGCAACAACGAGGTGACCGTGCGTCTCGCGCCGAAACAATGCGCCATTGCGCATACGCCGGAGCGCAGCTATTGGTCATCCACGTACGCGGTATTTTTAAATTGCTGTAAAACATACCGCGTTCACCGAAATGAAAGTTCTACCGTATCTTCGTGCGAGTCCTTACGAACCTTCGCAACTTGGACTCTGCAGGTGGGGTACATAACAAGAAGGGGGATGCTGGAACCCACGCGCGACATTCTCCCGAGACATTTAAACTAGAACAGTTCCTGGTCGTGTCCAGAAGACGCTACACGGTTTGTTTTGGGAACCCAGTGCCAGTGTTTTCATTTCGTACGAGCATACAACCAACGAGTGTTTATACAAGCGTATAAATTTTAACGAAACAAAGAATTAGTGGTGACTATTATTTCCTTTGATTGTCTGTAATGATAACGGTAAGTGGTGCGATAATTATTGTCGACGTTTGGCAAATTATTTTCTAGTTTGCATACAGTAAAATAGAACGGTAAATTATTTTGTTATTACTTTTAAGTGCTAAAACCTGATTGCTGCGGCAGATAATAAGTGAAAACGTGCAATGTAAACACACATATAATTCAAGTATGATAAAACGGAGGTTGCATATACGTTTGTATCACTCATCTCTTCTACATTTAATTGGATACGACACTTGATTGGGTTAATTGCTAAGACGTTGCTTGTTCATATAATTGAACGTCAACAATTTTTCCATAGATGACATCGCGTGGATGCGCGACTAAGATTTTCTCGATTAATGTTAATCACTTTCGCTCACGTGACTTAACGTAATCGCAATTATTCGGTACGCAACACGTTGCATCTTTGATCCCTGCTTGCCTGTTTAACATGCAACAGGAACTTTCTAAAAGTTACTCTTCTATGGATAAACCATTCTTACAATACAAATTTCACGTTTTCGTCCTTGTTCTCTCACGGTTTCCTGCTGGTTGCGTCGTTTCTCTTCGTCTTAGGAACGTGTTTAAAACAGTCCCAGTATAGCATTCGAGTAATTAATTCGTTCTAAATTTGAAAGAGAAACTAAAAAAAATTTTCCATCGTTTCTATTGCATTTCGTTTCGCTGTTCCACAGTAGAGGTAGAATTGATAGAAGCCATTTCTACTCGCGAGTGAAGGTGAGCGGAAAGGAAGGCGAAAGGGTGGTTTGACACGCACTGTCGAACACAGAAATGTCTCTAGCCGCTTGCTTTAGATACAATAACGCTGTTTTCAAGCACAAGTGCACTCTTTCTATGTGAGGGTTATGAAACTGTGCGATCCGGTTTCAGTCATGATATCTTTACATTCTAGATCAACATAGGCTGGGAAACATTAACGAACCAAATAGGCGTGAACTGGTTGCATTCCATTAACCAGAAGTAAATAATATTGAATAGCGCATATAGTTTTCGACAAATATCATTCAACAATGTACTCATCAAAACAATCGGTAGGTATATACGTGATAGAGCACACACAAAGTGATCTATCTACTATTAGAGTACACAAGTTTACCAACGTTTATCGAATAGCTAGCTTGTTTGCAAAAGAAGAGACCACGTAGCTTGGTAAATTGCTCAAAGATATCGGTTATACAAAAGGCAAAAGGAGAGTGGCGTTTTCACCTAAATTATGAGCATCATTTGGACGTTTACTTTCTATGAGCGTTCGCGTTCGAATGTACAACAGAGTGGCGAAATCGCGAATAGATATCTGTGTAATCCTTTGCAAGACGTTGCTAGTCATATATGAGCGAACCAATTCACAGTCATCTATTGCGTACATCAGCTCACATATACGCACATCTACATACACAAGTACATATTATGATACGCGTCCGAGGATGCTGCCTTCATGATCGCTTTCTGCTTTACTTTTAAACTACTTTGATATATGAAGTACGTGTCGAAGGATAATTGTTTATTTCAGTGGACATTGCTTCACGTGATGTTCTCTCCTCGACAACAACCGATTCACGTGTCTAACAGTTTGCCTAACACTTCTCGATGATATATATTGCAATGAAGATGATACACGGCTCGGGACTGCAAACAAATCGCTACAGCAGATATTATGCTTACATCTTTACCTTACACATATTTACAGTGAAATATGTTCGAACATGTCAGCCACGGTTTCTGATTATCGTTTATGACCAGAAGATTACCTAAATGGTTGCGCGCAATTCATTTTTGTCGGATAAACTCTGAGGAATCTGCGTGATTGTGGTTCCGTTTCACTCTCAGCAGGGCCATGCTTATGATGTCATAATTTCGTAAATACAATGCAACGTTTACGTTCGGTTCGACCATTCGACTCGGTTTGGAGTAGAAATATTAGTGTCATCTACCTTGACCCAATTTCGCGTTATAGTTACAGCGAAAACACTTTTTATGGTAAAAGTAAATTGGCTAAAAAATGATGTTGCATCTTGTATTTCATTTCGAAAATAACAGAGGATGCTTCGTAACCCGAGTAAATATTCGGGAATTTTAATTACAGATGAAAACGGTGATCTTCTTAGTTGCAATAGCTGCAACTGGAGCTTTGCCCCTTTCGAAAGTGCACGTGAAATTCATTTCTCCGCCGCACATTTATGAGCACGGTATTACGACAGATGGTTAGTTCTCAATTGTAATTACATCGCTCGTCATTTAAAACTCTTACACCGTTAAGTATAATTAACGTTCCTCTCTCAGGGGATCGAACGATCGACCAGAGATCTTACGTTTCCATCGGGAGAAGAAGCGCGTCAGGAAACCCAAGAGATTTCGGTACATTTAGTTATTTATCACTTCTTTTTATTCATTTTCTTTTCTTTTTATTCACTTTGTATGTTTACACAGGACAACGCGTGGGCAACAAAGGCATATCATCTGTCGATATTAAACGAGAAAATATTGAATCACTATGGCCAATAGGTGTCTTCATTCCACCGATAGACATAAACGACCTTGGTTACAGTTCACGTGAATCCAGGCATATGACACCTGACTTCTCCAACGGACTTAGTAAGAAATGACCATTATTTGATAGTAAAAGGTATACCGAAAAACGTTCAAAGAAATTTATTCGTTTTCCATTTGATGATGTTTCAGCATATCACGATCCCTATCTGTTAACTGGTAAAAAAGCAATGTTGACAGTAAAGTATCTTTATGGCCAAGGCGAATTGTTTTATGACGATATTCCACATGAAAGAGCGCTGTTAAGAAATCAAGAAGAAAGGAGACGAAACGGCTTGTTCGATCTAATATTGAGAAGTTTAAGAACCAGCTCTCCATTTTCAAGGAAAGAATGATCTAGAGAAATTTATTAACGATGATATTATTTATTTTCGAACTCGCTATCGAACGTTGCATCTTGATCAAGGAAAAGGGTAAAATCAGATTCTGTCGAAAAATTTACATTATTCTTATGCATTTATTAACTTTTATATATTTGTGTAATTAAGATTATGCTCCTTTTATTATACGGTTCTATTTAATGTTACCGCTGTAATTCGTTCATTTCTCGGGAATAGTTGGAATTGTTTTATTATGGTATCATTTAACAAATTCTTGTCCGCATCAGCTGCGGATTTAATTAATGCTGCGCTCGTTAAACGTGTTAGAAGCGAATCACGCACGAAACAGATGTACCAGAAATGTATACAAGTATCATTGTTGCTCATAAACGATCTGCGTTTAACAGTTTCACGAGTGTAATTTACACAAATTGCGGTACACCCTGTTATTATTACAATTAAAACATTGTACTTGATTCTGTATAACGTTCCGCTCAGATTTTATTATGTGAAATATGTATACCTCAATTTTATGTGATTATCATACATAAGATATAAATAAAATTAGCGTACAATTTTTACAGGCTTCTCGTTCGTTTCAGCTTATCAACGTATCGGATAGAACATATCATGTCACGTACAAAATACAAGGAACTATTTATACAATAATGTACATTCAATTCAGTTCTAGCATTCTCAAACGAACCGTCGAAGTAATACAGCAAGCGTTGTAACAATTAACCCGTAGGTAACGTTTAATCTCGTCGTTCCATTGCACAAGTCTCCGAAACAAAGGCACATGTAAACCTTTTTATAATTCCACATTGTGTAGGCGCATCTTTCCTCACCGTCGTCGGGTCCCCGTTGAAAACAAAGTCTTTGCGTGGCTTCGCCATATTCTAAGAGAAATGATATCGTTTCAGTGCCGGCAATCCACTTGTAGATTATAAAAATAATTATGTATGTGTCTATCCCATTCTTACCGTTATTTAAACCTTGTGTTTCGAGTATTTTACCACACCAACCAGACGCGCAGGTCACAGCATTGACCCCTTTTTCCTTTTCGATCTCTGTCGAGTTCATAGTGAAAGGATCCTTGCATGATCCTAACTCTCCTCTTGATCTACAATTCACACATCTCCGATGTAGCCCTAAAAAGGAATACCAATAAATTACACCAAGACTGGCGTACAAGTAGCTCCCAACACCAGTACATGATATTTGTTTCGTCTGACTCGTTCTTGTGCATAGTAAATGAGTTTCAATTAAAAAAAAAAAAGATAAAAACACTAGTTTACGGAAAGGATGCTCTATCGTATCCGGTATGCAGTGAAAGTGATAACATTGCTCATGATGCGTACATACACATATGTACGAACACAGTCTATACATGCATGAAACTCACCGATTGCTGTACGAGGTAGAACCACGCAAAGAATTGCGAGTACCGCAATAACACCTGTGTTAAATCTCATTCTATCGATAGTTTGTCTACTATTATGGTCCGCTTTCAATTGCTTCTCAATTGTAGATTGACAGTAATGCAACAGAAAGACAGGAACGATCAAACACGGCCATTTTGAAACTAACTATGGCTATGCTAGCAGACACGTATCTACACTATGCGGTTGTCCCTACCAATGCCTCCTTTCACCTGGATGTTTTTAAGGTCGTCACCTGTTTGAACAGATTGTATCGAAGAAATTGTAAGAAAAGTGGCTCAGTCGGTAAACGAGCACAGTATGAAGTAGTAATAACATAATGAAGAGAAAAAAAAAATGATTTCTAACATATTACATATATTTATTAAACTGACCGCATAGCAATGGAGTTAGTCGCTTTTTGAGTCATGAAACTCGACTAATCAACGGTGCTTCGTCTTCCTGGTTGGTTGTGACATTTTCCGGGTCTATTACCTTAAATTTTTCTTTATGCCTAAACGTGTAAATCAAGCCATTGCAATAGCAAATTGTGCAAAGCAGGAATATAAATCCCAGATATCCCAAATGACGCAGAAATTCTGTTTGATTGAAAATATGTCATCATAGAATCTTCGTTACATTATAGAATCAGTTCATTCCTAATAACAACCTTACCCCGGGTTAACAGTCTAGTTTTAGGAATAACGATAACTTTTAATTGCATCATGTTAATGGTATCGACGTAGCACGTGTAGTTCCCTTCTTCGTGGGTAGAAACATCTGATACGATGTGTATACAGAAAAATGTGAAACGCTATGAAATACGAGGTGTATGTAATATATCTACTCCTACTACCTATCAGATAAAGCGTTCCAAACGCGTCCACTATAACGCGAGCCTCTGGATCTAATTTACGAAAAGATCGCTGTACACCTTTTTCCAATGTAATCGAATCCTTTTTCCACGATACTTGCGTATCGATGGTCGACCTGAAACATTAACGCATTAAACATAACGTTAGAGAAGAAAAATATCTCATCAAAGGGCACGAATGAAACTACTCTGGACAAATGACGGTAAGATATGCTCCTTCAGCTAGTACAAATCGCTTAAAGTATCTAAACTTTCGACCCTTTTTCTTCTTCTCGCGCGGACATTTCTTGCACGTTTCCTTCAATATGAAGTTTGGCAAATGGCGAACCGCGCTGCTGATACCAGGAAATTCTTCGTCCAATAAAATTGATCTTGAATAAATTGTGCTATATTAACTGGTACAATTTCATATAAGGGAAAATAAATTTTCTTACTTGCAAGGTAACGAAGGGGTTTTTCGGAAAAATTTAACTATCGACGAATCACTTCTGTTAGCAATCGCCTGTGATAACAAAAATGTTCAAAATGACTCGAATTAGGTTTATAATTGATTTATTTTTTTACCATATCTATATCTCGTTTCAATCGACAAGTTCCAGTACTTGTCTTATATCCACGGTTATGTATGCAGTGTTCGCACGGACCCCATGGTCCCCATTCAGAATATACCTGCAGCTTTACACCGGACTCTCGAATTTCAGCCAATTCAGACATTTGTGAAACCTGATTGCAAGTACATCCGGTAAATGATTAATGAACAGATAACATTTGATAAAATTGCAAGCAAATATAATACAATATTAATCTTACAGCAAGTCGCGTGGTAACGGATGCCAAATATATTTCACGATATTTCTCCCAATCAGTTATATTTCCTTGTTCCGTATACGACACTCCATGCTCTTTAAAAATTGCTATCGTAAACCATATTCATTTAATTAATTACCGGTCTACATCAAGATTAATGATAAATATGTTCTTCAAATATAAGTTTATTCAAAGTATTACGTTCAATTCTGTAGTTGAATTTATTTTCAACCTCCTGTCCTTCTTCCCCGTGACACAAATAAATACCAGCATCTGTGATCATCAAATTTTTTATTACCAGAGAAAGCTCAAGAGTCGTATAAACTCTGTTGTATGACGAATTGTTATCCATCCCTAATTCTACTTCTTTCTCAGGGTTTTTTCTATATCTATCTTGGTAGTACCAAATTTTGGATTGTCTCTCCTCTTTGTCGTTGCTATCTTATAAAATAAGTACAACGATAATATTGAATCTTTGATCAATGACATATTACTTCATACCAAAATCGACACTCCATCACAACGATCGTGTCGAGTTCGGCACTGATAAGTAGATATTCATCGCTTTCTTCGGATGTTATTAATCTTTCTTTATTTCTACAGTACTTGACGGGTGCTACGGACGTATCGATAGAAATAATATTGTCCATTGTAACTGATGAAATCATTAATAACCATAAAAACCATGTTTGTAACATGTTTAGTCGCAGTACATATATACGAGTTAATCTAGTAATAGAATACATAATGCGGTGTAAATGGCATCGCTGGAGTAAGTATACATATATAGACAGTGAAGCTCTTTTTCTGTTGGATTCTTACATCATTATCTTTTAATGTATTGCCCTTTTTTTTTGTTTTTTTATAATACGGTATATCTTAAATGATTTTAATATATTTAAAAATTTCATAATGTCTGTTTTAGCATTTCAAAGGTAGTTTTCAACCAATCATAGCGTTTGGAACGACGGAAAAGAACCACTAACGAAATTCACCGCGAAGCGAGCGAACTCGACGGAAACATACCCATGATGCATCATTGATAGCAACATGGCGGACATGATTGAAAGTAAGTAAAAGTTAACTTATTCTTGATAAAATTAATGTAACAAGGATTAATTAAATACAAAAAGTAGCCGCATAAGAATAAGAAACATTTTCAACTCTACTATTTCAATGTGTAAGATCTTTTCGAACGATGTTTAGGAACTTGCTGTTGATGTTTTAATTGCGCTCAGAAAGGTCTGGTTTAAAATTTCAAAAATGACCAATACACAATTCAAGCGGGACAACGAAGACCTTTATCATTTAAGATTCCGTTCATCAAACGACACTTTAGAGACGAATATTTGTTAGTTTACTTTATAAACTTCATAATGTCAATGATTTTGTAACATTTATCCCAATGCGATAAATACACATACTGTTTACGAAACTACGTATAAAGTTTGGTTATGTCGACGACTGGGAGCAGAACGATTTCCTCGCTTCTTTTGCACCTCCAATTTGAATAACGTTCTAATATGATGGTTATGAAAAAAAGAAAACACATAAATATTATGTCTATAAATAAATTATTATATCTATCATTACCAATAATTTTATGTCACTTATAAATTATGGGTTCTTCAAAAGCTTACAGTGTGTAAGATTGTGAACTAGGAACTTTAAATAATGTTAAAACGGGAAAAATATAACTTGATTAATAAATAGTTTTTATAATGATATTTGATTAAATACTATGCATTTTGGAAATTGTTAAGTATGAATTACTAAAATGTATTAAAGTTTGTTTAAATTAGGAGCGCGATACAAAAATATGGTGTTACATAGTTACATAAGTATATATTTTTATTCAATACAAGAAAAATCTTTTTACTTAGGTGAATCTGCTGAAACATTATTATCCATGAAAGCTGATGGATATCCATCAGTGGATGAAATTAAAACTGAATTGATTGATGATGATACGATGGACATGGATGATCAACAGATTTCAAATAATTCAACGGATTCACATATGGACACAGAAGAATCAGATGCATTAACTGAACTTGGTCCTGCAGCTTTAGGTCTTCAAAGAGTTGGAACTCAACCTCCACCAAAACCAAACCCTCCTACACAGCCAGTACAAGTTTTGAACCGAAGAGGAATGCCAGCAAGAATAAGAAAAAAGAACAAATTATTTTATGATGATATATTAGTTAATCATCCTCATCATAGGTAAGTTTGACATGCTGTAATTCATAAATTTCGTGTATATATTAATTTACATGTATTTTATAGAATCAAAAAGGATTCATCGCATCCAGATACAAAGCAGTCTCCTAAAAAAATGACTAGACCGTCACCAGCAAAAAGACATAATAGACTAACTCATGAACCAAAAAAGAATAATATACTAAATCGATCCTTAACACCCACAATGACAACTATTAAACAAGAAAAAGAACCAGATAAACCAATGCAACCATCGTCTCCAGATCGTAAAATTGGACAAAAAATTGGCATGAGACTAAGAAATTTATTGAAATTGCCAAAAGCACACAAATGGGTTTGTTATGAATGGTTTTACAGTAATATTGATAAGTATGTATAAATATTGAAAATCTGTATGTACATATGTACAGTTTAGCATAATATAACTTAAAATCTTTTATTATAGAACCCTTTTCGAAGGTGATAATGATTTTATGATATGTTTAAAAGAATCGTTTCCGCAATTAAAAACTCGAAAATTAACACGTGTTGAATGGTGTAAGATAAGAAGAATGATGGGTAAACCACGAAGATGTTCTCAGTCATTTTTTGAGGAAGAAAGACGGGAACTGGAAAGAAAAAGACAAAAGATTCGAATGCTACAACAAAGAAAAGCAGCTGATATTAACAGTTTTAAAGATCTACCACCAGAAATACCGTTACAATTAGTAATCGGTACAAAAGTTACAGCAAGATTGAGAAAACCACAAGATGGATTATTTACTGGAAGTATTGATGCCGTGGATACTAGTAATAACACTTACAGGATAACGTTTGAACGTGCGGGACTTGGGACACACAGTGTTCCAGATTATGAAGTATTGGTATGTATAATACCGAGCATAATAGGCTTCCCCGGGTTCTCGACTTCCCCTGTAAACCATTTTCTTGGGGGAAGCCTACTCTGCTCGATACATGTTTCGTAATTATGGAAGGTCAACCAAGTCGAAAGGTAAATAATCATTTATATTTACATATAATTTACAGTCAAATGAACCACCAGAAACAATAAGCGTTGCCTCATTTGCACAAAAGTTTAGACCTAGACATGTACAATATGTACCATCTCCGCCGTACGCTATGAAATTAATGTCGCCGCGCTTAAACAGCGATCCTTTAATATCTAATGCTTCCGTATCTTTACCAAAGAAGTCTCATATTGGGGGAACAATGAATGGTTATCCTTTAAAATTGCTGGAATTTATGGTTAAAGTAAATAAAATACTGAGTATTAAAAAAATAAAAATTAAAAAATTAAGAGAAATGAATAGTGAAGCGGAAAAAAGACGATCTTTTGGAGAATCACTTCCGCCAGATTTTGAAAGAAGATACGCAGGGTATGCAATTATTACATTATTTTTATGCTGTTCTTAAACTTTATGCATGGTTTATGAACAATTATGTCTATTTCAGAATTGTGGTTGAACTAGAAAAAATGAATGCTGCTCTTCAAGATTTTCTAAATGATGTGCAAGAATTATGTCAAGAAATGGCCCCTGAACCGAGTGTGGCAGCTATGTTAGCACCATCTCATCTTCGTGAAAAATGTAGGCAAGAAGCAGCCGATATGGTTAATAGAAATAATGTTATTAACGATAAGGAACCTGGAAAAATGACTCAATTAGTAACGGATTTAACAGCTCTTATGTTGCAAGTAAAGGTAGTACGAACTAATACTTTAACTATTGCTTCCCGTGATGACATTATTCATGTGAATATCTTTGCGTTTCAGAGTTTGTCAGATTCAGACCGAAATGCATATGAATTGAAAGTATTACAAGGAACTATGGAACAGATACGTTCTAAATTAAGTCCACAGAATCAACAAGTTTTTCAAAATTGTGTCGAAATACACATGCAACATATACAATTAGGTCTTGGACAGAGAGGTGCTTTAACACCATTTATGGCCCAAAGGGCTTAGCAAAAGTGAAAATAATTGTCAATATACCTTTAAAATATGTACATTATTGAAACATAATACCACAATATTTTGTAAGAAAATTCAACTTTATTTTATTATCTTTTTATATAGGGAATATCATTAGTAAAGAGTATCTACATATATCAGGTCTGGGCAACTCGATAATTCTAGAAGATTTATTTAATCACCACGAACGATCGTTTGTCACATGCAGTTAAACCGCGTCTCGACGAGCAACAGTCAGATATTGAGGCAAGATGACGAAATGTAACAAATATTAGACGTCACGCGTCAGAAAGAACGCTAACGCCAAGAAAGTAGGAACGAAGGTGAGTAATCTTCCTACATTATTTAATGGTTTCTGACGTCACCGTTCACGAACGTTACCCAAAACTCTGTGGACAGAAAAATACGAATTGCCCAGGCCTGATTTTTATTGCTAAGATGCAAATATATAGTACACTACTTTTGTACATACAATATTTCTAAAATTGTTTTTTTAAGTCATATTCTATAAATAATTTTTAGAATAATGTGCTGTGCTGTTAATTGCATTAAACATTTAAAAATGTTCATGTTTGAAAGATTTACATACCAATTTTACGATTTAAATATAACAAAAATTGGATAACTATTTAATTATTAAATTGAAATTAAATTGGCATCGCTGTTGTAAATAAAACGTGCATTGTGCAGTGGCAGCTTTCATTAACTTTATATAACAATTTAAAACTAAATTATCACGCTAGAAATAAAGCATTTTATTTTATAAAAGATAGTTTAACATTCTTTTGCTTATAAGTAGCTGCAAAAAGTAATATATCATTGATACATTAATATTTTTAAAAATACTTTCCTGTAACTCTGTACATTAGATATATGCGTTTAATATTGCATAACAAATTGTAAATACACTAAATGATCAAAACATGGTTTCAAATTTACTTTATTTATTCTAACCAAAAATTTCAGACTAACACGAATATTTTGATTTGAGATCTTTGAATGTGTTGTACAATTTACAATATTTTTGATGAAAGAAATTGTTCATAGAAATCAAAATACAAAATTAACTTTGTGGCTATAAACATATTTACAAGAACATTATATATAATGATAATGAATTTATATTACGTTTGTAGAATTAATAGAAAGATTATTTTCAACATTAGGCGGACTTTAACTAATAAAGGAGGGGCAGGTGAGTTCTGGTTTAATTTAGTAAGTTGTAAGTATAGGAACTTAAATATGTATCATATTCAAAAATAAAGTGATTTTTAATTTTTATTGTTTGTTGGAAGTGGCTTTCAAGCATTTGTAACAATTGTGTTAAAGAATTTGCTTTTTTTGTATCGCCAAAATTTTATATAAATTTAGGATATGAGTGTTTTAAAACTACAGGAATGTAAATTACAATAATTATGTTTCCTTACATTCTGTTTACACCAATTAATTTTCGTAATTTGGATGCTAATAACATTTGATAACGAAACGATTATTGAGCGAAAATACGCTTCTAGAAAACCATGTAATTTCAAAAAATAAAATATAAATTCTAAATATAACGTGATTTCTTAGAATTAAATTTGATGTTATGACTCATGTTTGCCAGATGCAATAACAAAAAAAGTTCAAGCTAGTATATACAATTAAGTGATTATACATATACTTGTCATTTTTCAAGTACTTTCAATAGATTTTCCAAATAATGTATCTGAATTATTCTAAATTTTATTCGTGTTTATTTTTTAATTAGACATTCGTATATTAACATTACTAATCGTAATGATGTCATAACATCCCTTTAAGCAATGAAAAATAGAAAGTATTCAACTTAATTTACCTCTATTTTACATGTTATTTTAATATTAAATATTCAGGATAAAAATATTGTAACCAATGTGAGTAACAACAAACTTATGTGATTTAAAAAAAATCGTCAGTCACTGTTCAACTCGATTTCATTACGTTGTTTTCCGCATTATGTTATTTCATCAATTATCATTCTTACCTTTTTCTTTATTTTTTATGTTTATTAAGTGCTTCGAATAATGCATCAGCGTCTTCATTTGTTTTTACTCTTAACAAGACGGGTACGGGGGGTGGTGTTGATTCTGGTAATGGTAAACAAACTAACATTATTGTATTTTTGCTCATACGTTTTGTTGGAATACTTTGGGTTAATAAAGTATTGAGCAATAAATTTCCCAACGCAGTTTCGGCGCGAACTAATAGCTGTGTTTTATCATTTGGTGTCGGCTTTAAAAACAAACAACCGATACCTCTCTCAGTAAAGTTACCATCTTTTTTAACAAAAACTTTACACCTGTAATACAATATAAAAATCAATTTTATCATAAACAAGTATTAATTTTAAATTAACGTATATTTATGTTGTAACTATAATATATTGTAACTATAAGGTGATACCTTTGTTGATATATGGCACCTTCTTCTGTTACTGGTTTAAAATCTACTTTTGGTGGTTCATCATCTTCATCCTCCTTTTCTTCATTTTCCTCAGATTCTTGTGGCTTTACAGCTTGAGCTCCAAATGTAAAGGGCTTAGCGCTATAAATAAGAACGTTATTATAATACTTTTAATTATTTATTCTGTAAATCAGTCAACAAATTTAAATAAATTACCTTCCAAAACTGAAACCAGTTGATGTATTGGTGGTAGTGGAACTTTGACCAAAACAAAACGTATTAGTATTTGTTGTAGAAAATGTGCTGGTAGTGGTAGATTTTGCGTCTGTTTTTGACTCTTGTTCATCTGATTTATTATCTCCTAATGTTGAGGATTTACTCAAAAATGGATTCTTTTCATAATTCATATTTCCAAATATACTTTTAGTGGCAGCTTTCTGATCAATGTTACCAAATACAGATTTAGGTGTATCTGAAGTTTGGTCTGTACTACTAAACATCGATTTATTGCTATCTATAATATGTTCTGATTTACCAAATATAGACTTTGAACCTGTATTAATATTGCCAAAAATTGATTTTTCAGATTTCCATTCTGTTGTGTTCACAAGAGATTTTGTATTTGCTCCACTGAATGAGGTACTATCTAGTTTCTTTTCAGTATTTGCAGCATCCTTACTATCATTAGTATGGACAGGCTGTGCTTGTTCTGATGTATGGAATGTTTTTTCCACTTCAGTTGCATGTTTAGATTCAATTTCTTTAAGATATCTTTCATAATCCTTAAAAATAGGTGTTAAAATGCAAAAAGGATTTGCATCAACATGTGTTTTAATCCACTGTGCCACACTTTCATTTAATCCCTTTAACTTAGCAAAATACTCAGAGGACTTTTTAACTTTATTTTGATCTTCTTGGTCAGAAATACTTTTTTTACTTATAGATGTGCTCGAGGATGTTTGTATTTCTGAGCTTTCCTTTTTATTTGTTCCATTTTCACTGCTTTTAGGAGCTTCATTATTTGTAGAAGGTTTACTGATATTTGTATTTGTTTTTGAAGATGCATCATTAGTATTAGTATTAGTATTACTACTAGCTAAGAAAGTGAATAATGAAGCATTAGATGTAGGTGATGTTTTAAAACCTGTAAATGTACCAAATGCACTTCTGGTACCATCCTGAAAAATATGTAGGAAAAAAAATACATGCCTATCTTAAGATAAAAATTGTAAAAATAACAAATTATTTACTTCTCCAGATTGCAAACGGCGTTTAGCTCTTTTTACAACTCTTTTTTCAAGAACATCATCAGCTGCTTTTTTAAATGTTCCTGCCTCTTCTGGACATTCTCCTTTATCCCAATTATCATGATTTAATTCTGTAGATGCAGACCTCTTGCCAGACATTTTTGTAAACATACTTTTCTAAATCAGCCACTTAAACATTTTTATGAAAGACAAGATAAGAAAATCAACTATTACCAGTTTCTGTTGGTTTTAAAATATTCCGTTACATTTTTTAAATTTTAAATCCAAGTGTCACTTAGTTCATAACGTAATAAAAAGATCGAGTAACTTTTATATATGTAAATATGTAATAATAATTGATTACATAAGAATCGAAATTACTACCCCAAATATAAAAAAATTTAAATTAAGGTGTATTACATATACATGAATATATACGATTAAATATTAATTAATACAGCAAGGAGTACATAGAAATTTATTCGTTAGATAGACAGGAAAAAAATTGCAATATAACCTTATAGCTAACCTAATTGGAAGACAGGATATAGAAATCTTTTACAATTCAAACATAAAAGAAGTGGAACCATAATATTTACCGTATTGAGTTTGAAACCATATATAAGTTAAGTAAGATTAATTCGACACATTTACAACGATATATGCGATTACAGTACATAAGAATTTGCATAAAGTTGAACACTAGCACACAATTTTCCGAAGTTTGCGCACGCGCAGTTTTAACCATGCTTGTATTATGTACATATCCAACGAACAAACTAAATCTTAAAAGGTTAAACGACAAAATTATAATAATTTTAGTTCTATTTTATGCAACGTGTATGTGATGTAGACATATTTCTCACTCCACATGCAGCAATAAGGTAACAAAATTGATATTAAAATATGTTCGAATCAAACAATCACTGTAAACGTACAGATAACTTTGTTTAGTTTGGACATAATATTGTCTTCTGTAAACAATTAATTTAAATCAATTGTTCATTTTCACTCATCACAATATATATGCAGTTATACTTAAATAACAGAGATTACGTAAAAATATTAAAAATTTACATAGTTTTATAATTTGCAATTACCGAACACGTGCAAGCCCGATTATTAATTAATAGAACAATTAATTAAAGTTGAAATATATTTTAAAATTCAATAGAAACTATTGCTAGTATAGTACATTGTCCGATATTTTTAAACTTTAGACTTCTAGGTAGGTTCTTATAAAGAAAACTCTGAGAAAAAGTTCAGAACGTAAAAGAAATTGATAAACTAATTACGTTAATAACTTGTTTATATGCAAGTTAAGATGGATTTTTGTCTGATCGAGATACGATGTCATGAATTAAAAGAAATTTGTTATATCATTCTATATTTATTAAACTAGCCTATAATGTCGGAATATGATGAATGATCACGTGATGTATTATCGCGTGCAGATGATCGATTTAAACATTGCATTTCTCTATGTATGTATTTATATCTTTTATAGATACAAATGCCAGTTTACACAGTTAATTATTTATTATCACAAGCGCAAATAATTAAAAAAATAATATGAATTAACAGTTTATAAAGAAATCAGAATTACACATGTATCGTTGTTTATAGCATACTTTTTCCCTACTTACAATATAAAATAAATCTTAAGTATTCGTTTATTCTATTAATTTTAAACTTTAAATAAGCATTCCAATACGTTAATTTCTAATGAAATGCATACTTTATTTTTGTTTGTTAATATACAAGAATAAAAAAAATAATCACAGTATAAAATTTAATGTGTTCATTGAAATAATTCTGTTTCAGCAGGGTGTAAAAAGAAATGGAGGTAAATAACGGAATATAAATATTAATTTAACATAATGTGCCCAATAAGTGCAGCCATATTAAGACGTGTCTTCAAATGCGCAGAAATTCCGAAACGCGTCTTTGGGCTTCGAGGGAGCAAGCACGCTACTCTCCTATCGTGAACGGCGTTTCGTTTCGTAATCGCAAATATGTGGCGCCACTATCGTCGTCATTACCAACGTTCACTATCGTAAAAGATTTGTTTCAAGGAAATGTTTTCTTTGAGCTCATTGTGCTTCCAGAAGTTTGTAAACATAGTTCCTAGTGGTGATTCGGCGTAAATGAACAATACGTACTATAAAATTGTAACAGAAATTAAAGAGTCGTTCCGCGTGGCAGAGATACCGGTTGTATAGCTTGGCGCGAAAACTTGCTTTCAAGGAGCGCGTCGGATCCCTGGGCATACAGTGCTACGGGAGGAACGAAGAAAGGGTGTTAGAGGGAGAAAGAGAGAAGGATAGCGGGAAAGGGCCAGGGGTGTCGGGGGATCTCGAGCAACTTGGCACGTCCGTGTACGGAGGCAACAGTGCTGGTGGCAGCACAGACGCTCGTTGATGAGCGAACAATTCACTTTGGTGCGCGGTTTCACGACGTTGTTTCATCGGGTTGGTGTCGTGAAATAAGGGTGTGCATATGTACACACGTAACGAAGCGACGAAATGTGTCTGTAACATTTTTACCTGCCCGGTTTTCCTAAGTTAAAACGGTCAAGTGTCGTTGCGGTGGCTCGAAGAGTTAGTGGCTGGTGCGCGCCGTGCGTGCGGTTGATCAGAGCGTATACCGCTGCTCTCGACAATTTAGTGGGAGAGTGAGAGTGAGAGGGAGGAGGGGTTTCCCGTCCTCCTCTTCTCTCGCTAAAATCGGCCGGATTTTTGAACAGGGAGGAAAAACGAATAATCTCGATATAAAACTATGGAGATATCGAAGAGTTTGCAGGAAGAAATACTCAGCGTGCAAAATAAGCTGAAAAATGCTATACGCGATCATCAGGTGAGTCTCGCAACGGTGCATGTATGTCGATAACGATTTAAAGATTGAGAGTACGAAACCGAATGAACGAGCAAGCGAGCGAACAATTTAACGAATTATTCTTTCATCGACAAATGTCTCTTCTTTTTTTAATTTCCTTCAGCACGCAGTTGCCTATCGATTAAAAAATCGAGATACCGTGTTCGATAGATAATCGACTTGTAAAGTGGAAAACTTTTCGAGAAGTTTTAACTTCCGGATGTAACTTTGTTTCGGGGAAAGTATCGCGAAGTAAACAAAAACTAAACGCATGATAAAGCTTTTTCTCCTATAAATGCCATTTGTGATTCAGTTTCTTTGGCATTTTCATGCAGAATGCGTGTATGAACGCATGTACGCATCAATCACGCGCGCGCGTGCATAAATGCACACCTCCTATACTATATTTACGGAACTTCTAACTCGATGTAAATTTTCGGAAATACTGTGAAATAATGATTTTGATTAATGATACGAGTCGAAACTGAGTTATTAGCGTGGCATACATGTCCCTTCGATTTCTTAAAACTGTCTCAACCTTCCTTTCACTCGTATTGGACATTTGTAATTTCTTCTTTGGCTCCATCAGAGTAATGTTACATGTTATCGATAGTGAAAGAAGCGTAACAAATTCTAAAGGAACTTTTGTTCGTTTTCAATCATGGTACGAGCTTTTACATTGAACAGTAATCATTTCTATTTTTTTTACAAATCATATAAACTCGAAGGTGAACGAGTGTTCAGACCTTAACCTTTGTTAGTAGAGTGCTTCGACCGATGCGTCGCATGACTTTGAGAACCAACATTTTGTCTCCTTCCCTCTCTCTCCCGCTCGTTCGTTCATTCAGTTACTCACTTGTTCGATTTATCTCCCTCTCTTTCCCTCTTCTACCTCTAACTTCTGTACATACTTCTACACTCTTTCTTACGTTCTTTCTCTTTCCCCCGATTACTTTTGTCTTTATCTAATTCTTTCTTTCTTCCAAAGCATAAATTTCAATTTGATTATATCATATACTGTGTACTTTTTTTTATATACAAACTAATCGTCTTTTGCCATGTTTCATTATTTTTCTAAAATTTCTTCCTGTTTATTTTCTAACCACGTTTCTCTATTATTCTTCCGTATTCATTATCAGGTACCTATAATAAAAACCTTTCAAAATTACGGTAATTCCAAATAGATATATGAAGTTAAGTCGAACGTTCTAGCAACGACCCTTATTGGAAATCCTTTGTTAGCGTTCGTTCGGTATCGTCAGAAATCTTTACATTATAAATGTCTAAAGGTTCAAGGTATTCCGTGGTATATAAGTGTAAACCGATATTATCGAATCGCGTATACTACCGTCTACCCGTTTCGGCCATATTCAAAGGAACTTTTATTAACTAGTAAGAACGCTAGAGGGATACGTACCGGGGGAAAGTTTGTCGGCGCGCAATCGTCGCTCTGCCCTGTTCTACCGACCTTGTTCCATCCAACTCTCATCGAAATCGAATATTTTCAATCGATCGATACAACTCGATATCTGTCGTTTATTTAATTTCTCATAACCGTTCAATTGTTCTATTTTCATATAATATTTTTACAGTTATTGCTCGAGTTAATCGTCGAATAGTTTATCGCGAATTTATCAAGTTAGATAAATAAATCAATATTCATGCACGGCGCAACGTTATTTGTTAACCGGATAGGACAAACCTGTTTTCGCTCGATGGGCATTTGAATTACACGTCGATTGTCGAACGACAGGTGTGCGGCGATATTGTTTCTCGCGAATTTCAAACATTTCCTCCTTGTAGCATGTTTTCATACACGAGAAAAATCTCTAGAAATGACGTGTATTATATATTTCACACACGTTTATTTTAATAATGTATCGGTATATAAATAAATCTATACACGTTGTATTTTATTTTTTACACGATTATATTTTCACGGTCAATGGGATTCTCATTGAACGACTATACGAAGCTTTTTTTTGTTTACTATTCATACATACATGATCAATCATGAAAAACAAAGTAAAATTACATTCCTTTAGTTTTTCTAGGATTAAATTATCGTTAAGATCTAAGAAACATACGGAGACCGGGGAGAGATTCGTTAGATGTAAAATATTTGATGTTGGTTCATTTTGTTCGACACAACGGATCAAGGCACAATGTATTAGGATAATTGCATTATTGCGCCGCGGAACAAAGTGGTCACGTTTCGAAAGCTTCTACGATATTCTAACGCAAACGTTTCAGACGGCTCAACAATGTTATTAATTCTGAATTTTCTTCTCGTTTTACAGATCTGCGTGGGCAAACTGAAGGATGACCCAAACGTAAGTCGTTTACATTTGCTAATCTCACGGATCGATTTGGATTTGGTAAACACGTGAAGGCGTAGATGGGTAAAAGCTCGTGACGTGATGGGTAACACCGTAATAACAGCGTTTCTCGTATCGAGCATCTAGGGAAAACAGTCTCGATATCAGTTATATTTTTGGTCTTGCCATTTTACCGCGTCTCATGTATCGATATATTCTTCGAAAATAATGTTAATTGTTAACACTTTGTAGGCCGAATTTGTTTTTCTCGTTTCCCGATTCTTTTTTAGTCTTCGATTAGAAATTCATTATCATCCATTGCATCCATATAATTGTCATTAGACTGTGGTCATTATTGCGTCGATTGCAGACTCGTGTAAATGATCGTTTCCCATGTTCTTGTGTCATAATTCTATTAAACGCGATAGATGTATCCTTTGCGATGCTGAGATAACGCGAAAAGTTTGACGAACATTAGAATTCTGATTATCCAAGCAAATGTAGACCGGTGAAACTTTGAAAATTGGAAACTCCGATAAACAGAACGTACGCGATCATTTTGGGTGATTTGGGTCCTCTGTTTTTATTCCGCATTGAAATGAAGAAGACCTATAGACAGCGATCTATAAATAGAAAAGAAATCGTTAGTTTAAAGCCAAATTATTTCCCTTACTTTGCAGAATACGGACATCCTTGGTCAGATACAAAAGATTCACTTGCACATCGTGTCGTTGGGAAGATGCCAGGTAAGTTGAGAATTGATTTCCTCGAGCTCCACTCTTTCGTTATGATCCAGGGCAGGTTTGTTCTTGGACGTTCCCTTGTTATCTCTCCACACGAACCGAAAAGATTTTATCCTGAAATTATCCCATCGATATCGAATCGTATCGGGGGTAATCTAAAATCGAAGCAATTTCTTCGAGAACAAAGGTGGTCCATGTTTCGAAGCAAATAAAATATCGGTTAATCGATAATCACAGCGAGTAAGAAGAATATTTTAAAGGAGTTAGGGTACGAGTTCGGAAATTGAACAACTATAACGTGACCGGTTAGTTTTCGAAACGGCGTTCACCGAAAATTTCCCAAACGTTATCGATTCGTTAGATTCTGTATCGACAGCTTGCCTCCGTACTTGCCATTTCTACGCGCGATGTTCCCTGGAACGAGTAACGCATAGTTATAATTAAATAGCGAACTCGTTGAGCGAGTTTATCGACCACCTTTCCAAACTTTGTCGATCGCGTGGTGGATAGACGCAGATAGATACCCTGTACGTTATCATCCGCGAATATCCTCTTTCTTACTCGTCTTTCATAAGTTTACTCCTCGCATTATCGAAGCTGTTACATTATAATAACCCCGTCTTTCTCTCTCGTCCATTATATACTAACAATATCGTCTTTCCTAATAGAGATGTAAGACCTCTACGCCGAGCGTAGAAAAACCCTTTAATGCACGCTTCAGAACGGAAACGACTAGACTACATACATACATACATGAAGCATTATCAGCGTGACGAAAGTTGGTCGAACAGCTTTTGTAGTTGCGCGTGATTAACGGAAACTTTCGTGGCGATTAAATTTTCAAGTGTGCAAGAAACGCTTTCCGTCGAACCGTACGCGCTCCTTTTGCGTATTATAAAATGTATAAGAGCGCGTTTCTTTTCCGGATTCGCGAATCGACGCGAAGGATCGATAGCGGGGCGAACTCTGCCCCGAAGAGGTTCCGGTGGATGCGCTTTGCTATCGCACAGCATCCTCTTCTAAACATTTTCGCGATAATCCCGTCGACGACGATCCCTCTTCTCCCTCTTCTCCTTCTTTATTCCAGTCGTGTTTTCTTCTAACTTCTTCCCCGTGACTTCGCTTTCCCTCCTGCTTGTTTTTCTTCGTTTCTTTTCATCCGTCGACAATAAACGACCGATCCAGGTAGATTGCCACCGGAGCAAAGGAGATACGTAAACGGATAGAAATGGAAAAAGACAGAGAGAGAGAGCTGTGTATACAGAGATATATCGGGTGGGAGTGGGTGGTAAGGGTGGCAAGGGTGGCAAAAGAAGAGAATGAGAGAGGGAAAGAGTTAGAAAGAGAGAGCGAATGGAACTTGGGTGAAAAGGAAGCAGAGTAGGGGCAGAGGCGGAGGGGCTCAATCAATAAAATGTCCCGCAGAAACGTTTTCAGCTCTTTACGAGATCTCCGCATTTTTTCCCTCCCCTTTTTCCTTTCCTCTTTATCCTTCCTCCACCTTGATACATTGTTTCTTCTTTGTCCTTTCATCCCTTTCCGGCGCTCCTTTCAACCCGATCGCGTTCCCTTCAACCGTTGTTCATTGCATTATCGAGTTAAACGTTTACTTGCGAAAACTTCCGCAAGTTCCTCGACACCACCACTATCACCGCCGCTGCCGCCGAGATCTTTTATATATTCGCGGACGAGTCGTCCGGAATATCTTTGAACGAGATTATTAAGGAAGCAACCGCGAAATAACGCGAATTTTTCGCGCTCGCGAACGTAACAGGAACACATTCTTTGTTCCTCTTTAGTTCTTGCGCAACGTTAATTGGACGGGGATGATTTGCAACGAAACTTTTATGAGATACAAGAGTTAAAGTAAACTTGAACACGAGGGTTTCTTAGAGTTAAGTCGGCCAATGTTTCTCGGAATTCTATTCTTTCTTCTGTTATTTACTAACAATCTTTGAGGACAACGAGTAAATGAGAAAAGCGTATTTGTACACTGTGAAAATTTTCTTGGCAGAATATAAATCTGAACCGATAATAATTTGCTCTTTTGTCGGAGGGAAAATATTTACTTGATTTATAGGACAGTGCATCCTCTAAGAATACATTCTGCTCATCGCTTAATGACACGCATTCGTATTAAACGATCAGCAACACGCATACGCGCACAGTCTGCCAAGAAAGTTTTCTACGATCGTCATTGACCGAAGCTCAGACTCATAGTTTTCAATCTGAATACGCAGAAGCAAGTTGTCCAGCGGCTGCGCAAGGAGGTCGAAACATTCAAAACGCAGAACGCGAACGGGGCGAAAGTTTCCATCGCGTCGTTGCTCGGCTTGAACAACAATAATCATATTACGAACAACAATGATACGAAATGCAAGACCGTCAGCAATGATTTTAGCACGAAGAGCTCGAAAGAGGACTACGAGGAGATCGTTAGGAACGGCGATGTCCCTTCGCCCACGCAGGACACCGTACCACCGAAGTAAGTTATAGTTGTATCAATCCGTGTTAACGATACCAGTTCTTTTTATAAAATTTATGATAACGAATACTTGATTACAGGGAACGGTCCAGGTCGGTTGAAACGATTTCCGGCGAGGATGACGTTATCGAGGTCTCCATGGACGAGAACTCTAACGAGAAATCTGAAAAAGAAGAATCAGAGAAGGAATGCAAAGCTGAATCAATGGAAAAAATTAATTTCTTAAATGCCCTCGGTTTGATCACTACCGCGACATGTTCTGAATTGCAAAACAAAAGGGCCGAAAGGAAACGTCGTAGCACGGCTAATCCGCACTTTGTCTATTCTAATTTAGAACTGCCAACGGTAAATATTTTATCGAAATTTCCATATATTGTATAGTTTCATATATCATGTGCGTTTATTGTATTTTTATTTATCTCAGAAACGAAAAAGACACTCGTACCTGCAATCTGGAAATGTTCCTCAAACTCGACAAACAACGGCACGTTTGAACGGACCGTCGCCTCCTCCAGTGAAAGTTGCACCACCAAAATCAACTTCACCTCCAGCATCAAAAGCTGTGTTGAAATCTTTGATTCCAGTTCAAAAGTCTACCACCCGACCGAATATTCTTCGAAGTGTAACGGAAAGTAAAGTTTTCCCGAACAAAAGCAAGGTTGAAAATGGTCCCGGTCAGATTCAATTGCCTACCGTGCCCACTGTTAAGTCTGTTCAGTCGATTGGCAACAAGGCGGTTCATATACCTGGCTTGCCATCCAGCTTAACTATCGAGAGGATTAGTAGTGATTCAGCAGTCTGTATAAGTTGTAGAAATCCAGGTATATAATCGTACGATATGTATGACTCATAGATTTCAATGCGTTCGGACATGATGATATTTTGTTAGAATCAAAATACTCATACGATGCATTGTATGTTGTAACAGGTACGCTCACGGTGTGTGAAAATTGCGCATCCAATTATCACGTGTCTTGCCACTCCATATCACCGGCACCGCAAAGAATATGCCCAAAATGCGCTTTACTGGACGAGGAAGAAATCGAAGACGGCGACGAGGCGGACGAGGAGGAAGACGGACGAAGCTCGTCGTTTAAGAAGGACGAAGAATTCGGTAAATCGTCCTTGGTTTTTCAAAGGATTTCTTCCTGTTGTAACGTTGATCGTGTGATTGACAAAAAAGTTCTTGTTTCCTGCAGACACTAGCTTTGATGAATGTTCGTGGCACGCTTATCTCATTTCGCGACGGCACCGTCCGGGACTATTCGATTTATTTGCGATTTATCATTAATTAGATACCAAATATTAATGATAATTAAATGATAGTAACTCTCTTTTGGTTATATTCGATAACCAAAAGTTAACGTGCACCTACTTTTTTAATTTACGCAGCAGAGAAAAAAACTCTTTTGCGCGAGCAGTAAGATGGAAAAAAGTACTTGTAGATAATGCAGACAAGTTGTGTTTGAAAGAAAAGCAGGAAATTGTGTAACATGGGTCCACAATTTCTAGATTTAACGTGCAACGAGGTATCGCAGCGTTGCCGCAGACTTTATTGAGCGTAAGCACACAGAGAGAATAAACGAGAGAGCAGCCTGCCGGAAGAAGTGTCGCGAGTGAGACCGGCTCCTCGAATACAGCAGAAGAATTTGCAATTAAGAAGAACTTTTTGGTCGATCGTCAGTAATAGGGCTCAAAAAAGCAACGTGTATTGAACGCGAAATATCTTGCAGAGGAGAAAGAGAGAGAAAGATATGAGCTGCGCGAGCGAAACTCGGATCTGAGATTGCAGGTTTACGAGTTGGAAAAACGCTCACAACTACTCGGCCAGTCCCTTCAGGTTCGTCCTGTGGCCTGCGTAGAAAGAAATTTACAAATCTTTTTTTTTTCATTTGGAATGCTGTGTTCAGTTGATGAAATTGTTCGTAAATATTTTACATCTTTTGTTTTTTCATCAGTGAGAACCTGCAAAATCTCTACATTTTTATTTTTCATTTTGGATATTGTTTTTCAGAAATACGTTGATCTTTTTATAACGAAACTTATTATTGGTCTTCTTTTGTTTGATACAAAAATCGATTTCTTTGATATTTTATATAGTTTCTGTCAATATCATTACTGTAGAGCTTATATGCGTATATAAATTTAGTTTCTTAAGCGGATCACGAACGCACTATTTGTTCGTTAATCCGTGAAAATACGGAATGCACGATGCTTCCTTCACGTATAGTTAAAATGTCAGTGTTTTAAATATTTCGTTTATATTTCTTCAATTTCAATTATGTACTGCTTATGTATTTCGTGTAGCGCACTTAGTTCGTTGTCGAATAGCGTACACTAAAGAAGATATCTGTGTAAGAGAAATATTTCAAATCGAAATTAGCGTGTGCTCGTGTACGAAATTGGTGGGAGATGGTCCAAAATTAGTTTCTTCGTTAAATTACTTACGTGTACTAAGAGCATGTGCATCTTTGTCCTGATATTTTCAAATAGACAATCGACGCTGATTATTATGTTGCATTTCATAGTGGTAACAGCATATGTAAATAACCGTTTAATTTTTCTTTTAACAGCTACAACAGCGCACGCGCCAGGAATTATTAGGAAAACAAGAGAAGACGCAGAGATCTATAAAACGTCTTGTGGACTTCATAAAGCTGATGCAGCTCAGAAAAAGCGGGGATTCTCCAGCTCCATTGGGATCGGTCAACTTCCTGCCTCGACCTTCCTCATCCCACTCTCCTCGAACAGTGTCTCCGCAACAACCATCAACCAGCCGGATGTCGGGCCTTCTTCAGCCATCAGCATCGAACGAGAAAACAGCGTGCCCTACTCCTCCATCGTCCTCAATCAATTGCCTCGATCGAACATCACCTATATCGACAGGACAGAATCTCAAGTGTCCTACGCCTATCCGCTACCACCACTCACCAGTTCTCAATCCGACAAGCATCAGTCATACCTTATCGTCAAGAAAATCACAGAACCAGCAAGAAGGGCAATTCTGCCTATCGAAGACCAAAGTCACGCAACAATGTTCAACTATAAGCTGCCAATCGCACCAAACTACAAGCCTCGCGTTCAGACGGAAATCTCTGTCGCCCACACCTCACTGCTCGTTGGTAAGCAGTTGTCCGACCCCGTCAGTCGTAACCGCAAGAAGCAAACAAGTCGCGCAGTACCCGCACTCAATCGAATCATCGATTCAGAGAATCTCTCCATCACCGCCGAATATCAGTTGGAGCGATCGACGTTCAACGGTAGAAAGTCCCGAGCCAAACAGCCAAGAAACAAATTCGGTGTCAATCAGCAACGATCAGTCAAAGCCACAGAAATCCTACTGCCTTCCTACGATAATACAGAATCCGATAAACAGTTACAAATCGCAAAATCAACGGAACCAGAGGAGGCAGCCAGCCTCTTCGGTGGTCGTCCCAAGTACAGGCCAAGAGCCGGTAGTCTTCTCCACTCACTGTTCACAAGCCATAACAAGTCCTATATCGTCACCGATAATTCTCGAGAGCCACGAGACATTGGCCCAGGTGACAAAGATACCAGCTCACTCAATCGGCAGCAGTTGCATCGTCAGGACTACCAGTTGGAACCAGGCGAACGAAACGAATCCTCGGCCCAATTGCAGCGCGGTGCCCTCACAAAATTCTTCGAGCACGTGAAATTGGAAGAAGCGCATATACCAGCGCCATCTAGAGCAAAGCTAGTATACAAAAGGAGTAACGTTGCCGAAAGGAACGAGCTTGAAGTTACTGAAATCGCGGACGAAGAATCGAACAGCCACGAGTACGATAACAAAACATCCTCGTCGCTCGGTATTTTCGAGGATGATTTTGCTCTTCGAGAAGCCGAGCGAAATAATTGGCTGCCAGCAGCAGTTATAGAGAAGCTGGGTGAGAAGAACGATAACACGGGTAAGAGCACAGAATGCTTTGATTCCGTCTCGAACTTCTCTAGATCGAACGATGTTATCACGTATAAACGTAAACGTAGCAACAACAAGTATTTCTTAATGGATTGCGAATCAGACTTTGAGGAGAAGGATAACGCGGTGACTGGTACGCCGTTTCCGTCGCATATCGCGTCTCTGACAGAAATTGCATCGCAAAGTCAGAGGGATCTGCATGATACGGAGCCTCTGCGTAACGCACAAAGCAATTTCTTGGAGCTTCGTAACGAGGTCTCAGTTCCTGATGATAAGGCTGATTCCGAGAGACAAGACTTATCCAGTGGCAGACGTTCAACCAGTTGCAGCCGAAGTAGCAGCACAAGTGACAGCGATACTCCGGAACAAGCGATGGACAACTCTCTCAAGTATTCTCGACGTCGACTATCCGATAACACATACAAGGAACGTTTGGGCATTAATGCTGTATCTCCGGAGAGCATGCAGGTGCTCGAACAATTTGAATCGGCTATGCGGGAAACTGGTTGCAGCAATGCTGCCACTTGCTAGAGTTAGTTAGAACGCAGTGTCAACATATGCTGATTATGCTCATTGCTAGAATTTCTTTCTTTCTCTTCTTTTTGACACGGAAACTTATTATTATTTTTTAAACGCTGAGATTTTTTGTTATGTGTGTGAAGTGCATTGTGTTTGAGAAAACTCTTTAGATCTAGAGTTACTTTTCAGAGGTATTCGTACATGATCAATACTGCATTTGAGTTTGTTACTTACCTTTAGGATATCGAAATGAACAAAAGGTATATTAGGTATTCTCGTAATCGTTACAGAACCTCTCTCGGGGCAGTTCCTACTTTCTTTTTACTGCCTTGGAAAGCAATGCAATCGTTTGTATATCGCTGTACCGACTATAAAATTATGATAACGATGGTAATCAAATACCATTGTGCTTCAAAACTGTAAGGATGAGAAGCATCGTTGCTTCGCAATTTCTATTAACTATGTTGTATGTTCGTTTATTTATTAATCGTTGTTCATTCAACTGTTCTTCGATCTATTCGTGGTAGTTCGCGAGGCGCGTGGACCAAGTTTGAATTTCTTCCAATGAACCGTTTCATTTGTATAGTGTTACAGAGTTTCGTATTTTCAGCGTTAACTCTGATTAAATTCATACCACTTCGATTGCGCATAGAATTATTTATGTCTTTGTTTCGCTGAGTTTTATGAGCTTTAAACGTTGTGTTTCGTTG